GACCTAAGTTGGTCTGTGAAGAGTGATAGGAGGAACAAGTCAAGAAGGACTTTCCTGAGGAAGTAACATTTCAGCTGAAAAATAACAGAGTGAGTTTATCTAATAAGTGAAACCAGAGACAGCTTCTAAAACTAATTGGCCCCTAATTAAAATTCATAATTGAGGCAAGTTGCATTCTCCCAAGGTAAGCCACCTTTTTTGGTTTCTTTGCAAAACCAATTCAAATAATGTTCCCTTGTCACAATCTCTTCTACTGGTCTTCAGCCATTTGTTTTTTCCTTAGAGATAACTGTTTGAAAATGTCAGTCTATCTAGTGGCACTAAAAGAAAACTAAAAGAAAATAAAAGGGGGCTTTTATTGTTTTTTGGGCCACATTGGGAATTTTGTTTGCTCCAGTAGAGAAGAGACCCTATCTGTTTTTTCACTGTTGTATCCTAGTACCTAGCCTGGCATACAAAAGACCCTAAACAAATACTTGTTCAACCAAACTTCTTTTGGTCTTTGACCATTGGGAATTTGTTTGCTTTGTGTTGCTTATGTAGAGTATATACTACTGAAGAAAACTGCCTGGATTCGGGTCATCTGTATGACCCACTCCTGTATGTGACCCACGTAAGGTTGTAACAGACCTGAGATCTAACTGGTTGAGCTTGACCATTGCCTGCTTAATGTGAACATCAAGCTGAGATGCAGGTTCACAAGGCTTTCAATTGCTATAAGTGCTTTTGCATTTTACATTTTGTATAATGCATACAAGTTTTTATTTATTCTAAGAAAATACTTCACATAGTCAGTTTGAAAGAATGTGTGGCTCCAAACACAGTATCTTAGAAGTGGTGCTGCAAGTTCAGGCAAGGTCCTGAGCCTCAGAGACTTGAATGTGTGAAATCTGAGCTGCTTTAGTGACCGAAAAGACGTGGCACTTGGATGGAAGCATGCTGGGTCACTTATTGGACAATTATCAGCATTGTTCAACACATTATATTAAATTTGATACGATAAATGTTCATTGGGCACCTTACTCTCAGCAAGGGGATAAGAGCTCTCATAATAAACATAATAATACTCGTGACAAGAGCAGCAACTTCCATTTATTGAGGACTCACTGTGTTAAGCACTGTGCCAAGCATTTTACATAGACATTTACATTTACATATCTCATTTAATTCTCATAACAACCCTATGAAGCTGTATGAATATTCCCTTCAAGAAAATGAGGTTAGATTTAGAAATTTGTCCATGACCACACAGTTAGGAAGAATAGCCCTTACTTATTAGGTCAGGATTTGGATCCAGGGCCTAAGATGTTAATACGCTGCCTTGTTTTCATGTTGGTATGTCATGTTTGAGATGAAGAAATTATTGTTCCTCAGAGAGGTTACATAGACAATTCAGGGCCCTGTGTATTTCCCCTGAATGTAATACGTACAACTCGTTGAGCAATTTCTATGACTGGTATGTTACCTTAAAATTTTCCAGCTTAGAAGAACTCAACCTTGTCTGACATTAGAATAATCTGGGAATTAAAAAAATAAATAAAACTTAATGCACAGGACCTATCCCCAGACCAACTGAATCAAGATCTTAGGGGACTGGAACTGGGAGTGGGATATTTTTTAAGTTTCCCAGATGATCCTGATACACAGAAAGGGTGAAAAATTGCTGCCTGGAGTCTCACAAGAACTCCAGAAAATAACTGCATTTTACAGATAAGAAAACTGAGGCTCAGGGAGGTGAACTGTTTTTGCCCAAGTCACAGAACAGATGTGGCAAAGTCAGGACTTAACCTCTGGGCCAATTCCAAAGCCCATATTCCTTTGGCCCTCCAAGCTATCACCTGCAGGACAAATTGGCATTCCCTCTAACTTCAGGCAATGTCCACTGGCTTTTGAGTTTGTCCTCAACAGCAACTCTCTTTCCTTCCTTCCTGCTCTCTACTGCTGTTCTCTTCCCCTGCCCCAAACCCACAACCAAATCCAGCCAGACTTCATGATCATGTTCACGTGGATGCACTGGCTTGATGCTCCTGCTTTGGGGTGACAGCAACCAACTCAAGGTAATGCCCACCATGGGCCTCCCAGCAGGTCCAGAGCTCCTAGTTGCCTATCCACTCCTTGAGTCTACCTAAGAAGATGGGGGCCCTGAACTCACAGCCCACAAGGTACTTTCTGGGCGTGGGAGCAAGAATTTTAAAGCAGAGACTTTAAAAGTCAAATTAAATATCACAGAGAAAAAAAGGCAAAATCATGAAAAAATGTGGTCAATCATTAGTGGAGAGGTTGAAAAGACACGCTCCAATTGCTTTTAAAATTCACAGAACCCAGGTCTCCTTAAAATAGTTTCTCAAAGTACACTGAGAATTCCATGCAGTAATATGAAACATAAGTCCTGCTGCTGCCACTGAACATGCTTCAGCTGGCTAAACTGAAGGAGCTTGACATTAACCCAAGGCTTTGCAGAACTCCACAGGATAGCACAATGGAGCTGCGGTTGCAAAGCTGCCCCAGATGTGTACATTTTCTGCTCCATTAAAATGACTTGGACGAAAGGCAAAGTACATTTGGCTAGCAGAAAGAGGAGGCTGGGGAGGGGCAAGTACAGGACAGTCAGCCTCATCACAGGCCTCCAAGTCCCCAGTGTTTACCCTCCCCCTCACCTCCAGCCCTTACCCCACACTGCTTCTAGAGCAGACTGTCTATAATGTAAATGTGACTGTAGCCATCCAGGGACCTCAGAGCCAAACTGCTTTGCTGTAGGTCTCCAGTTTCTCAGCTCTATCATGGGATTAATGATGCCCACTTCGAGGGTTTGGTGTCTATTAATTGAGATCTATATACATGGTGCTCGGCATGCCTGGGTTATAGTAATGTTTAGAGGAAGAGCAGATATCACAATTATCATCACTGAAAACAGATCATGTGAGGAGGGACAGGTGAAGGAAGTGAAGATGTCTGAGTAGAAGATAGTTAAGATCCTAAGGAGACAGGATCCCAAGTTTTCCATAAGAGCTGACATGAGACTCTTGGTAGCAGCTACAAGATGAAAAGTTCTGCCCCAGTGTAAGTAAGAAAGACCTTTCTCACAGTCAGTAGTGTCCAAAAGTGAAGGGGTGTTAGTAAACCTCCTGATGTTAGAACTGCGTGAAAGGAATATGGATGACCATTGGAGAGAGACACTGAAGAGGGGATTCAACTATAATTTGGTCTAAACCTCACATTGTAACCACCTCTTTAAGTTTGAAATCTGTACTGTTGAACTGCCTTTGCTTGCTAATCAATGAATCAGCACCGTCTTGAGTTTCTGGTGTGTGTAAAGCCTGGGGCTAGCGTCTCCAAGTCAGAGGTACTTTGACGCCATTTCCATTAGGGCAGAGGAAGTTCTTAGTAGGTTCTTCATGAAGCTGTGTTTAAAGACTGACTGTGTGAGCTACACCAGAAGCAGAAGCAAGGATGTCTTTTCTGTTGCCCCTAGGATGTCCAGGGGTGTCTCTTTGAGCATCCCATACCTGCATACCGACCGTACCTTCTCTAGAATCTGCACATCCAGATGCAAAATGTATTTGAGTCTGTATTTACTCTGATAGCATCCATGTCACTTTGCTCTTTTCTTCTTTCTGGGTTCTTGGGACATGGAACTGCCTCCTTATGAGAATTATTTATGCTGACTTGGGTGCAAACTGAGGGTACGGTGATATTTTAACATGTTCACAAATCTTTCTTACAAGGAGTGGAAACAGTGCCAGCCCTTTGGTCACTGGGAATGAGACAGAGTTGGGTTCAGATCCAGCTCTTAAAAAAGGGGGCGGATTTTCAGAAAAACAGTGCAATTCATGCTCTCTGTATCTTTCTTTAATACATTTCTTTTATAAGCATTAAATATGCTAAGAACCTGTGATGCCGAGGTTACTCAGCTTTTTGTCCCCCCTCAAAGAGCTCATTGTAATGAGGGAAGATAAAAGATGCTGGCAGAAAAGAGTAGAGGAAGACCACCTGTGCTTGGGGAGTGCAGGCAGTTGGGGAAGTCTTCACAAAGGAGGTGACATTAGAGCTGGTCTTCAGGAGAAGTTGATGTCAGCACGCACCTTAGGAGGAAGAACTTTCCAGAAAGAGGGCATAGCAAGCATAAAAGGTTGGGACCTGATAAAGCATACTATCTTGGGAAATGTCAGATAGTTTAAAGTGTCTGGTATGTACTATGTCCAGAAAAGTGGTAAGAAAGAGGAGACTGATACTGTATTTGGATGTCACTTTCATTTAAATGGCATAGGAGATTGGCCACAGTACTACTTGAAATTATTTTGCAAACCTAATTTAGAGCTTCATGGGCTTTCATTGAATATGACCAACTCTGCATGATCCATCTTGTGAATTATCAGAACTCTTGCTACACATTACTTCCCCTTGACCACCATAGGAATGTATTCTTAAGATAAAAACTCATTTAAGGTCAGTCCAAAGAAATCATAATCATGAAGGTAAATCTTCAGGAACAACTCTGTGTGGCACCTCCTTTGTCCATAAGCATGCGGGGCAACGTCAGACCAACATCTGCATCAGGAAACGAGTGATCATATCTGGCTACAACCACACATATACTACAGGCTTGGTTTAACGGAACTTAATCTGACCTGTGCATTTGGATCTGGGAGATGTGTGTTATTGAGGTTCACCTGTATAATGTAATCCCTAGATCACAATGAAATAATTTGGGGGTTTTGGCTTATCTACTTCATCATTAGTGTAGCTAATCCAAAATGTGAGTAGAGTGCTTTTTAAAAAATAAGATATAATACTTTCAGATTATAACGTAATACCTGCTTATTGTGGAAAATAGTTAAATATAAATATATAAATGTAAAACACAAAGAAAACAATCATTCACCACTACTATGAAACAATATTTTAATGCATTTATTTTTTTTACAGCTCAAATTCATTTAAATGAATTTTTTAAAAATATAACATTTAATTAAGTCTTCCACCTCCATTAAGCATTCGTCCATGAGAACACTTGTCTCACTATAACATAATTACTTACTTATACATTTTTAAATACTCTTGGATGAGACCATAAGGGTTTTGAGGACAGGGAAGGTGTTATTCATTTGGTAAGGTACCTAATTTTGGCATTGGTATCCAAACCTGAGACTCAATTTCTGATACACTGTGTAACACTGCAAGAAATTTAGGTGTCTGTCCGGTCTGTTCGTCTCTCTATTACTAGCGCCTAGCCAGAATCTGGCATATAGTGCATACGCCAAAAACTATCGTTGCTTGACTAGAGGAATGAATTACTGGATGGCTGGATGAATGTGGATTTCTATTTATTGTTCTTCACCCCAAATTGAAGTCCCTAACAAGTGCCAGGCCTGGGCTGGGACTTGGGGATATAAGTAGCCATGTATGGTACAAGGCAGCAGTGTGAGACTGCTGGCCCCCTCTGACCAGTCTCTGGTCCCTATGAGCAGAGACCAGTCAGCCCTTTTTCAGTTGTTTCATAGTTAGGCTGGGGGTACACCCAAGGCCCTCCAAGTTCTCTTCTGCCTAGGATACTGAGAACAGAGCAAAGACTGGTATTCCTCGGAGTCCCATTCCTGATCTCAAAATGCCCAGCTAACTCTGGGCTTGCCTCCCGCAGAGCACCCCTCCACTACCTGCTCCTTTCCAACTGGTCGCAGCTCAGAGAAACGCATGTGGTGGAGAGGTGCTTCTGTAGAGGAAGACTATAGGGGAGAGGGGCGCCCCCTGCTCCCTCTGGCTGAGAGCTGTCCAGGACAAGCCCTCCACCACCCCAGCCAGCTGGTCCAACTGGAAATCCCAGATAAGCCCCGGTTCTGGTCAGAACTAGTTTGGCAGCTCTGGGGGAACGTTTCTGGCTGACTGACCCTCCCCACAGCAGGAGCTGGCAGTTTTGCAAAAAAAGAAGAAAAAAAAAAAGATAATGGAACTAAAGGAACTAAGAGGAGTGGCTTCAATTATTTGAAACACTCCAAAATTTTGCTCGCTTGCAAGTGCAAGTTTACACTTCGGGATCCCAACGAGATTGCCCCCATCCCGTGCCCGGCCTTCCTTCTCTCACACTCTCTTCTCTCCTTTGCAGTGCAGTTTTGTTGCGATTCGATTTATTTTGCAGCGCGATTGTTGAAGTGATCTCATACTCCCCGCAAGCAGCGCGACTTTTAGTCGATGCATTTTTTCCCCCTCTCCCGCAATGCTATTGTTATTATTATTATTATTGCCATTCAATCTCCTTGCCTTTTCCTCTCCCTACGCGAATCGCGCTCCGGCTGTGATTGCTCCGGTCTGATTTTGCGAGTGGCGGTGCGCTTCCAAACCCCCCTCACCCGCCCCCCGCCCCTTTCCCTCCCCCCCCCCACCTCTTTTCCGCGCCCAGGCGAGAGCAGCCGATTGGCAGAGCGGTGCTTTCAGGAACAATAACAGTTGGGGGAGCCCGGGTCCTGGGGAGCCGCCCCCGCCCCCCGGCGCGGCAGCGCAGCTCGCGCCCCCCGCCGGGTCCCCACCTCCGCGCCCGCCCCGCGGGCTGACCGGCCCGACCGGGGCCCGCCCCCGGCGCCCACCATGTACGCCTTTGTGCGGTTCCTGGAGGACAACGTCTGCTACGCGCTGCCAGTGTCGTGCGTGCGCGACTTCAGCCCCCGCTCGCGGCTGGATTTTGACAACCAGAAGGTGTACGCCGTGTACCGGGGCCCGGAGGAGCTGGGCGCCGGGCCCGAGAGCCCCCCGCGCGCCCCCCGCGACTGGGGCGCGCTGCTGCTCCACAAGGCCCAGATCCTGGCGCTGGCAGGTGAGCAAGCGGGCCGGGAGGGACGGCGGGATCCGGGCGGGGGCAGGGACCCGGGGCGGAGGGGGCCGGGGGGAGCCTCTGCTCGCTTCGGCCTCCTCCTCCCGCCCCCTAGGCTTCTCCTTTGGGGATGGGGTGGCTCTAAAAGGCCAGACCAGTTAAAAACACCGGATGGTCCCCTTTGTCTTCCCCGCCTCCCCGACACTCCCGCGCTGTCAGTCTGTCTCCATCGCTCTTTCTGTGTCAGTCCTCTTTCTGTGTCTGTCTGTTCTCCTGGTTCCTTCACTTTTCTTTTCTCTCCCCTCCTTTGCACTCTCATTTCTCTGCCTCTCACCTTCTCTTTGGTCCTTCCCCTCCCTGCTCCTTCTGTCTCCTCAAGTTTCTCTGTCTCTCTTCCTTTAAGGCCCTTGGTGCCTCCTGGAACTGAGGAGGCTAGGTGGATGTTCAGACTCTTCTAGGTGAGAGTTCCCCTTCCCAGAAGGAAGCTATGACATGCTTGTCCCATCCAGGTCATCATTGGACAGGATGAGGAGGCCTTGATCTCTGGGTGTCAGTCTCTCCTGCCCTGTCCTGGCCAGGTGGGAGAGCCAAGGTAAAGAAGTAGTGGCACTCAGCATCCCTCAGCCTCCACACCCCTTTTGAATCTCCCAGAAGGCTCCCTGACTGAGAGCTGAGGGCAAGGAAAGAGTTTCTGGTCAGGATAAGACCAGACCTCCCATTCCTGGTTTCTCAGAGCCCTGACAAATGGCAAGGCAGGTGGCCTCACCCCCATTTGGACAGATGAGGACATGGAGGTTCAGCTGGTGTTAGGACAAGAAACCAGCCCTTCAGCCTCCTACACCAAGTTCTTGCTGCCACATTGGGGCACCTTTTCCTTTGTAAAGAGAAGTCAGTGGGCCCTCTTTCCCAGCTAGTACTAAGAGACTTGGGTACAGACAGGAGAGGAAGAAGAAAGTATCACTTCTGTTTTGGGGAGCAGCCTTTTAGCTGCTATGGGGGGTACCTTGGAGTGGGCAGAGACAGCCAGTCTGGTCTCCACTTGGAAGGGAAGGTCAGTTCCTAACTGAATGAACATGTCATAGTTTTAAGACCTTTCCCAATCTTTCCAAGTTCCTTTGCTTTCTCACATTCAGCCTGAAAGATGAAGCCAGCATGTATCATATTTAAATTTGGCAGATAAAGAAACTGGCTTGAAACACAGAAGTGGCTTGCCTAGGGTCCGTGGCAAATTAGCAGATCAGAGCTCTGGCTCATGGCTCTAGGTCCTTTCCACCACCTCATGTGGCCTTTCTCTAGAAAGTAGGTTTGCAGCTGAGGAGTGGGGAAGAAGAACTAAAAACCGATCAGCAACCGGGGCCCTTTCTGACAGACTGTATCGTCACCATGTCTCTGACACACTCTGGGGTACAGGTGTGTAAGCCCATTCACAACACCTGGGGACAGATGAGTCCAGAAACACAGAATGAGAGGAAGCATGCAGATAAAAAAGGGAAACCTTTGTAGCTGATTAGGTTTCATTTTGTTCGCATGCTTTTAATTACCTAACGGAAGGGGCTAGGAGATTATTTCCCAAGACTCTAGGCCTGAGGAAGTTGTAACTAGGTTGTAACCTCAGCTTCCCTTTGGCTAGAAGAAAAGAAAGCATGCTTCTTGATGACTGTATTATACTCCTAGATCTGGAAGAGCCTTAAGAGAGGGGAAGCGATGTGTGTCAGAAGTCAGGGGTATAGTTTGTAATGACTGTTTTCCTCCTTTAGAGATTATTCATTCATCCACTTGTTCATTCAGCAAACAAACCCTGCTTGGCTCTTCAAGCACTGCAGAGAGGCTGCTAGGCGGATGGCAGCCCTCACCAACTCGGATTTTAAAAATCAGAGAAAGTCCTCATAAGTAAGACATGTAGTTATTGGTCTGAGAACCCTGAATCTTGAATCTATAGACTATTCATCCTCTCAGGTTGGAATGTTGATAAATCTCTGGGGTTACTAAAAACAAGAACAACAAATCTAGGCAACATCTGGAAATTGGCAGAGTAGATCCAGAGAAGAACCATGGCACCCGGTTGAGCAAAATGAGTTGAAAAGCGCTTCCCCTGCCCTCTTTCACTTCTTTTCCTGGGAGGAGAAAAGGAGAGGAAGAAACAACTTGAGGTTGGCTAGACCACGTTTCGAATTCCAATCAGCTGGTTAATTTTTAAATGGGAGCCGCAGACCTGGCTGCAGACCTGATTGAAAGGACCAGAGTGGGTTAGGAGATTCATTTATCCTGAGAGAATTCTCCTGTGTGTCTTGAAAACCATCTTGACTTGAATGTGGTGGCTCTGAGAATTGCTTGCAGTGACTGCATGTTAAAGAGCTTACCTCCTGGCGTCTCCCAGGTATAAATACCACTGTGTGGTGGCACCAAATTTGAGAACGTGAGCTCTCAATGGGGAGGCGGAGATGGCTTTATATTTTCGAGTTAGCTGTGAGTAATTAGTCCCTCTCTGGCAACAACAGCATGGGTTCAGGGGCAGTTTAGGGCTACTTTATGGCTATGGGTGATAAGTGTGTTATTTTACTGAGTATTTCCCCGGACTGTGTTCAGCCTAGCCCAGAGCTGTGTTCAAGTGTACTTCTTCTTGTATCCAGGAAATGTCAAAGACAACTGCTGTAGGGCGTTGCATTTTTTCAGCCCGTGGTGGTTTATGCCATGGCTTCATTTGCATTAGACCCTACGGTACAGCCCTCCTCTCAACAGATTGCGATATCAGTTCAAGAAAAAAAAGAAACAAACCCACCTGTATGATGGTTTTGCTATATGCTTGTGCATTACCTCTGTTAGTCCTCCCTTTGACCCTGTTGGTAGACATCACTATGATTATTATTATTATTATTTCCATTTCAGAGATGAGGATACTGAGGCTGAGACCTGCTCACTAATAAATGGCAAAGCTAGCCTTGGAAAACAGTCTTCCAATGCCAAGGCCCTGCTTGGCAGCCTCCTTTGTAAAGTAGCTGATCTTCCCATCCACCACACAGCATGCTTGGAAGGAGTGAAAGCCAATGGAAGAAATGACCATGAAGCGTGTAGCTCAAGGCAGATTTTCAAGCCAGTGGACAGTTTTCATTTCAGAGTTTTCAAGCCCATTCTGCTCTTCTTCATCCTCTTTTACCAGCCTACCTCCTAGAGAGTACACATACTGTGCCCTCTCTGCCTTTAGCTGTCATTTTACTGAGAAAATCTCAGAGATGCTCCTATCTTCCATAGAGGAACCACAGAACTCCAGACTTGGTTTACTGTTGGTCTCTCCTTGCTCACTCTCATTTATTTGCCAAACAGGTTGTGAAAGTGAGAGCTACCTGTCTCAAGAGCTCACCATTATCTAACTGCAATCTGGCCTGCTAGCGTAGCTCGTAGGATTGAATTTTGTGGGTTTTATGGGGCAAAAACTGGTTTGTATAGGCTCAAAGTCTTAAAATTCTGTGTCAGTCCATCCAGGCACCTATGCTATGTTATTATTTGGGTGTGCAAAATGCCTTTGGTTGTCAAATGTCCCTTTACTATTTCCTACATGCCAGGCCCAGTGCCATAATAAGTGAATGTACCAGTACAGCTGGGGTACTGGCATTGGAATGACAGCACGATGTGGTGCAGACAAGAGTTCACTTTTCAGGCCCTGAAAAGTCTTGATTTTTGTCAGGGGCAGAGTGATGGAGAAGAAAGGGGCATCATCCTCAGGGAATATGTAGTCATAGGGCCCAAGGTAAGAATTATAGGTAGAAGCCAGCCTCTGGCAGGGACAGGGTGGGAGCAAAGAAAAGGCCAATTCTAGGTGAGCTTTGCAGATTCTCTTTTAAGTCTTTCTTTGGCAGCCCCACTACCACTGTGCATTCAGGCCTGTACCATTTTTTCTTTTTCTAAACCAATGCAGAGGCCTTCTAGTTACTCACCCTTTCTCTAGTCTCATTTCTAAATCACAATCAGAAAAATCTTCTAAAACAAAGTCTTAGGTGAATTCACTTCTCTCCTTAGAACCTTCTGTAGCTCCTTCTTGCCTACTGATTTAAACTTTAGCTTCCTGACATTTATAGCGGCCCGAGCCCCACCTTATTTCTCCAGCCTCACCCACCCTTCCTACTTTCCATAGACCTGCGGTATTTCATGCCATCTTGAGAACACACCCGCAGGCACTCCTTTGAGCCAACCAAGATGGATTAATCATTGTCTGATGTGAGGCCTCTGCCCATGAAGCTCACCTTCGAGTGGGAAAGGCAAACATGTGACATGTTTGTGGTCCAGCGAGCTGAGGGCTGTGATAGAGGAGGGGACAAAATACCCTGGGAGCCCCACTGCCTCGAGGGTTTTCCCTGTCCGACCCTCTGCCTCCAGAGGAGACTCTCCCGCCTCAGAGCTCTCCCTTTCCTTTGCTTGTCCCTTGCTTATGGATCTTGGTATTTGGGGTTTTGTTTCAGTTACTCATGAATGTGCCTGTCTTCCTTACGAGCCAGTGAGCTCTCCAGGACAGGGCCCCCCCCCCCCCCCACCAGCTTCCCGATCTCTGTATCTGCAGAGCCCAGCATGCAGTTCACACCAGCCAGCCTGTGCTGAACTCATGAACTGGGGGAAGACAGGTGCATTTATTATGTTTGCGGAGCAGAAGTGGGAAAGGACAGGAACCCCTCTAGCAGCAACTTGTTTTTCAGAGCAGAAACCTGCAGCGGGATTCTGAGGTTTCATTCAACGTTGTTCATCTGGAAAGAGTCAACATTCTTTATCACTCCCTTGACTAGAAAAACCCCACATTTGGGGGGGAATCGCTTCCAAAGCCACGTTCTTCTTGCTTTGGTAATTTTAGCTCATTCAGGGCTCAGGTCCCAGCTTGGCATTGTCGGTCCAAATAGATCACTTGCTCCAGAAACGCTTTGGAACTTCTACAAAGTTAGCAGCGAAGCAGGGGACTAGCCGATTTCATATGCAAAGATTGTTACATGTCATCAGTGGGAGACTGCCAACAAAAGGAT